AGGAATGCCTGGATGGAGGCTATGCGAGTTTAAGGAGGGTGGCCATGGTGGGCCTCACTAAGAAAGGGGCAGTTGGGCAAACTGAAAGGAGGTAAGGGACTAAGCCAGGCGAGTAAATGGGGGAGAAACCACCTGTGCAAAAGCCCGAAGGTGGGACTGTATGGGTGAAGACCAGTAAGGTAAGCAAAGCGAGCAAGGAGGCAGGGGGAGAGATGCCAGAGAGGCAACAGAGAGTGGAGTGCACCCCACAGATGGCACTGAGATTACTCCTCCCCAGAGAGAGGAAGCCAGCACTTTTTTCCTCGGCCTCATCTGATGGCTGTGGTCAGAGGAGCCAGTAAGGGCAGGTGTGAGGCCTGCAATAGATCGGTACATCGGAGGAGCCTCGGTGGGGCCTCAGAGCAGCTGACATCCGCTTGGCCTGCGGCTTCTTCCTGTGGCTTCTGCATCTCAGGTTGCCTGAATGGGTGCTATTTTTGCTCCTGTTTGAGGTTCTGTGCAGGGCTCCTCTGTGCACGGTACTGGGGGCCACTGGGCCTGGCCCCTCTTTGGGTTTGCTCTGTTCAGAGCAAAGTAGGGGAGCCATTTAAATGTTCCAAGTGCCTTTGGGGACATTTACAGTCAAGCAGGCGGGAAATAACAGGAAATTTGTTGTAAGTGTCATCTTGTCCATCCTCATGACCCTCCAAGAGCAGAGAGGTTAGATGGTTTCTCCAAGGTAACAAAGCCAAATCAAACCACAGGCTGAGGATCTAATCCAGTCTGCCTAGGTCTGAAGGCCTTTAATTTGCAAGGAGTTCTTTGCATTTACACCTAAATTAATGTTTCCCAAGCAGATACTCTGTGTTGCATCACCTTCCAGAGGGTGTGAGGATAAAATGCATCATACCCAGCTTCAGTCCCCCAGAGCATCAGAGCACTGATGAGGAGGATTACAATGGGGTGGGGGCAGGGAAGGGTCCCTGGCCCAAACTGTTGGGGGTGGGAGGAATGAACAATCAGAGCAGGCTTCTGGAAAGCAGTGATGCCACAACTCTGTCTGCAATAATGAGCAGAAGTTCAAGGGGTAGAGGAAACATTCTGGACAAAAAGGTCTGCATGTATAAATCCAGAAGCATGATAGCTTGGTTAGTGGGGGAAGGGGCTTCAGGAAGCTGTACAGCAGCAATGATTCTGCTTGGGAGGGAGGAGGCAGAAGCTAGCTTGCTGACTGCAAAAACTGAAAGCAGACAGGTGTCCCAGCCCCCCAAGTGGCCACATTAATACACATTAAGGGTATCGGAACAGGCCCAACAGGCTACAAGCAACCATCCAACAAAAGGCTTTCAGCAGGGGAGTGGTTCACAGAGATCCTGCTAGCTGTGTGAGGAGAGAGGACTCTACAAGGAAGGCGGAGGCAGGGAGGCCTGGGCAGAGGTTCCTGTATCACCCAGCAACAGGTAATAGTGAAGTAGGGAGGTGGGGTTTTACCCTGCAGGTACAGACATCGGGCAGTGAGGCAGAGAGAAGGGCCAGGAGTGATGCAAGCCAAGAAGCAGACAGTCACAGTGTTTACCAAGATGGGCATGACAGGGGAGGGCATGTCGGAAGGTGGGGCATGTGAATCAAGACAAGGACCATTTAGAGCCACCGTCTTCTTCAGATGAATCCTCTGGGGAGAGAAGGTGTAAATCAAAGCGGCTTTTCTATAGGATCCCCCCATTCATAACAGGCTGCTGCCCCCATGGCTGCACAGCAAGGCAGACCCAGAGATGGTGAGCGCATTGCCTAAAGTCTCAGCCAGAAATCAAGAAAGGGAAGACTGAAGATCCCAGCCTACCTGATTCCTCTATCAGTGCCCATCTGGACAGACACCCAAGAGCAGGAGGACCCCACACCCTCCCTGGAAAACAGCACCCCAGGGTCTGGGAGAAACTGGAGAAACCACTGCCCATCTATGATATTTCAGTGCTCCATTTGTGATTATCCATACACGTGAACACTTGCCAGGCCCCCTGACTGGACAGAGATGGTGACTCCTGGAGGCAATCACAGCAGGTACCACAGAGGGAGCCCCAGCCATGCCCAGTGCGGCCTCCTCAGGAAACCTTGCATCTCTGCCTCTGCTCCCAATTTTGTTAATTACTGGTTTGCGAATGCAGGAGGCAGCAGGAGGGAGACAGTCATCACGGGTTCCACTAATCGCAGAAAGGAAATTAATTTCAAACATGAGTTTATGTTTGAATTTCCAACACAGAACAGAATAGTAGGAGTTTGCAGGACCAGCCTGAACTACTTTTTTCTAAGGGAATCAGAGACCAAAGGAAGGCAAAGAACTTACTCAAGATCGCAAAGCAATTGCACAGGAGGATATAAACATACAACTCTGACTTCCCACTCCCTGGGCACCTTCACCTGCTCCATAAATATTCATTAGGTATCTGCTGTGTGCCAAACCCTGTGTGCCAGCAGATACCCTGGGCCCCAGTCAAAGGCTCCAGGGTCCATCCCCAAGAGGGAAGAGTATTTTTATTTACTGAGCACCAACACAGTGTTTTATATACCTAGTCCCATTTAATTCTAATAATCTGTCATTTTATAGGTAAGGAAACTGGTTCAGAGAGGTAAGTGACCTGCCAGAGACCACAGAGCAAACACAAAGCAGAGCCAGGACTCAAAGCCAAGTCTTCAACCTGGCTTCAGGGGTGCCTGGGTGGCTCATTTGCTTAAGTGTCCAACTCTTGATTTAGGCTCAGGTCATGATCTCACAGTTAGTGAGTTTAGAGCCCGCATCAGGTTCTGTGCTGACAGTGTGGAAACTGCTTAGGACTCTCTCTTTTCTTCTCTCTCTGACCCTCTCCTGCTCGCTTGCTCACTCTCTCTCTCTTTCTCTCTCTCAAAAATAAATAATCTTTAAAAAATAAAATAAACCTAAAACATTAAAAAAAAAAAAAACCAACCAACCCTGGGTTCAGCTTCTGTTCTCCAGATCTGGGGGTATTCAGGAATGGTGATACTCCAGTCACCACTCCCTTCTAAGACTACTCCCATCTCCCTTCCAAAGTCTTTCTTCCCACCCTGGGCTCTCAGCAAGCATTAAAAATAAGACTCAGCCTGTTTCAAGACAACCAGTAAGTCCCTGTAATTAACTCCTCCTCTCCCAGTCAAGAGCTATGGATGTGACCAGAGACATAGAGAAATTCGTACCAGACAGGACTGTGAAACAGAATGTGGCCCTGCATCCAAGCTCCCTAAGAAGAGAACCGGAACACAAAGTCTCTGGCTGTAAGCACAAGGGGGAGAGCTCCCCAGGTCATATGTGTGTGTGCACGCGTACACACACACACACACACACACACACACACACACACACAGTGTTAGCCACGAAGTTCTCCTAAGCAGAGCCATGGGTTCTGGGTCATTTGCTCATTCATTCACTCAACATTTATGGAGGTCCTACCACATACAAGGCAAAGTGTTAGGCAGCACATGTGTGTGCACAACACACAATCATCACAACACAAGGAGGGAGGTATCAGTGTCCCCATTTTATGGAAGCAGGCAGAGACTTGCAAAGCTCCAAAAGCTGGCCCTATGTCACAGACTGTATGTGTGGCAGAGCTGAGATCTGAAACCAGTACCTAACCCAGACCCTGGTACACAGGAGGCACTCCGTGGCTATTTCCTCAGTGGCTGGCTGGCTCCAACGCCATCCCCCACAGACCAAGGGGCTGGGTCCTCTTGCCTTTAGAACCAGCATGCAGAAAGTGGAGATCTCGCCAGGGGGCACAGAAGCTCCTCTTTCTTGGTCTCTCTTGGTTCCCTTGGGACATTCCAAGCAAGGGAAAGCAGGCTTGAGAGGGCGGTTTCCGTTTCTGGGACACACGTGCACAAAGCCAGCTTCTCCACAACGACTGTGATAAATCAGAGCACCAGAAGAGGTCAGGCCTCCTGCTCAGCTGGGTGCAGCCCTGTCACCTGCAACAAGCCCCACCTCCAGCTCAGCCAACTCCCTCCACAAAGACAATCTCCCCAGCGACAGCTGGAAAATGTCATTAATAGTAGGTTTCTGCATTCAAAATCTCTGTCGCCTATTATGTGTGTATGTGTTTGCCTTTAAATCTGTAACAATGTCAGGGCACCTGGGTGGCTCAGTTGGTAAAGCCTCCGACTCTTGATTTCAACTCAGGACATGATCTCATGGTTCATGAGTTCAAGCCCCAGGTCAGGCTCCATGCTGATGGTGCAGAGCCTGCTTGGGATTCAATGTTGCCCTCTCTCTCTGCTCCTCCCCCACTTACACTCCATCTCTCTCTCAAAATAAATAAAAATAAACTTAAAAAAAAATCTGTGACAATGTCCTTCCTTATCTTTTGCTGTCCTTGCTTTTACAACAGGACAGCAACTGGAGATCCCAACTGCTTATTGTTCAATATCCTGAACAGACAAAAGGAAAAGGTGGTACTTGCAAATCTGGGGAGGAAGTTTTATTGATTCTACAAACTCCAAAATCCAATGGAAGCAGCAGCTCAAACTTGGTTCCTAGTGACAGCCCCAGCTACTCCTCACCCCTCCTGCCTTGAAAAGCCCCTCCCACTCCTCACCCTAGGTATCTTCTGGGCCCCTGCCATACCATGTGTTATCCCCACCCTTGTTTCTGGTCTGAGTTGGCCAGGCCCCCCACCCACACCTGGCCAGGCCCACTGCGGGGTGTGCTGAATGGATGAATGAATGAACGAGTGAATGAACAAATGCTTCCTGAGTACCCTGGGCAGCTATGATGCTCAGGGCACCAAGACCTGCCCCTCCAGGGGCCAATCCCAGACACTTTTAGAATTCCCTTTCAAGAAGGAGCTGCCAAGTGCAGGCCTCCTGGAACCCTCCAAAGCATCTTCATTCCACAACGTGACAGGCACCAGTCCAGGTCGCTGCCTGCCCCCACCCAGGCACTGTCTGTCTTCACCCCGCAGCAACGGCCTGGCCGCCTCCACCTCAGGAGGTGGCGGGCACCCGCTGCTTACCTTCTGCTGAAACACACCTGCAATGCACCAGCGTCTCCCAAGTAGAAGGAGCCCGAGTCTCATTCCACAGAAGCCCTGGCAGCGAGAGAACGCGCCCGCGACAGCCTCTGTGCGATTCTGCTGCATAATCAGCAGAGAAAGAGAAAAAATGCCAGAAATAGCAAGCTTTATAAGCCCTCCTGACAAGTCTTGGTCCTCTATTGGCTGGAGGCCCGGCACCCCCCCCCCCCCCCCTCCCATTCCTATAAGGTGAAATGGAAAAACCTGTTATTTAATCTCTTTTATCAAAATCCATCTTCTATCCCAATCTGGGCCTGAGTGTTCGGAGCTCCTGGCAGCGGTCTCCACGCCAGGTCTCAGGGAGCGGAAGGGGAAGCAGCCTGGCTCTGCATCGTTTGTGGCTTACGAGCCTTCCCCACTCACACATGCTGCCTTGGGAGCAGGTATTGAGCTGGAAAAGCTTCTGGAAGGCAGCCTGGCAGCACCTGTCAACACGTGAAAGTTGCATGCCGTTTCACTTGGCAGTCAGACTTCTGAGCATCCGTCCTGCGGAAATACCTGCACTGGCATGCACAGTGCACACCCACAGATGTTGTTTGTTACAGACAAGAATCAGGGGCATGCTGAATGTCTCAAAGCAGGGCTGCGTTGCACAGATTAAAATATATCCATTCCGTGGAATATGATGGAATGAGGAAGGTCTGCAGGTACTGACTTGGGACTGGTTGGGAGAAAGAATCAAGGACGTGATCCCATTTTTATAAAAACAACAACTGTGTGTGTGTTTGGATATACACTGTAAAAGATGCCAAACTGTGAATAGTGGTCACCCTGGGGAGTAGGATAAGGAGGTATTTTCAGTTGCTGCTTTTTCTTTCTTGTCTTGTTTTTTCCTCTTCTTCTCCTTCTCCTTCTTCTTCTTCTTGTCTCTTTTCCACAAGCATGTATGACATTTGTAATTTAAAACAAAAACATGAGAGCCTGCCTGGTTCCTTCTCACTCCTGAGGGGTAGCAGGCCAAGGCCCAAGGTCACCCACCATGAGGCTGGATCAGGCTTGGGACAGGGCTGGTCTGAAGCTCATTAGCTTCCACACAAGGGCAGTTAACTCGGCTCCGTGAAGAATGTGGACTTAGGAATAAGACAGAACTGGGTTCAAACCCTGGCTCTGCCTACTGGAACAATTAGTGTCCCCGCGCCTTAGTCTCTTCATCTGTAAAATGGGGATGACAGTGCCTATTAAGTGCCATGTACTGTGCCAGGCCCTGTTAAACCAATTTTCATTTTTGGGCATTTTAGAAACACCAGAGGCTGCTGAGGAAGCCTCACAGAGCTGAGGATACTCAGAACTCAGTGAGAGGAGTTCTGGGAATCACCCCAATATTGAACACTTGTAACAATAATAAACTAAGTGACAAGAAAGACCTGGGGAACACATGGTGATAAAAGAGACCGATGACCAGCATATCTGCGTGAGGAGGGGGCAGGGTGACTAGAAGGGACTCCAGAGAGGAAGAGTCTTGCATCCGTACCTCTACACCCTTCTCATGCTGTTCCCTTGCCCAGGCCTTCACACAACTGACTTCGCATCCTTCGCATTCTGCTCAAAGATCTCCTTCCTTCCCAGAAAGGGCTCCTCTGACTCACCCACCCTGAATTACACTGTTCACAGCACACCCCTCCAGCCAATGTTTTCTGGTTGTTTGTTTTGATGGCTGCTTTTATTTGTTTATTGTTCATCTTCTTCACTAGGCTGTGAACTCCATGATGGCCAGGACCCCTCTGCCTTGCTCATCTCTGGGTCTCATCTCCTAGCAGAGGGCCTGACACACAGCAGGTGCTCAACAAATAGAAAGTACACACAATCTGTAGATCCAAGGCCTAGTTCCAAGCGCATGGAACTTGTGTGAAGGAGAGGGAGATGTACATTTTGCACTACGATAGAGAGGTGGAAATTTCAGATATACTGAAGATCTGGAAACATACACACAAAGCTGGGAGAGTGCTAGAAAAGTCCATCCTTGAATGCTTATATGGGCTTAAGATGGAAAAGGACTTTCTAGGCTCAACTTTATTTGCACAGGGACATTTATTTCTTTATTACATCATTATTTATAAGAAAATGAAAATGAGAATAAAATCCATTGATAGGGTATAGGCTCAATAAGCCACAACTCTCTGTACCATGGAAAAGTATGCAGCCAGACAAATGACCTGCGTTCACTGATCTGGAAAGAAGCCCATAGTGCTTGCTGGATGTTAAACTTTCTAACTGGGAATCAGAGACTGAGAAGAAAAAGGTATAATTTATTGTGACTGAGAAAGTGTGAAGGTAAAAAGCCTTCAATTATCATTTATTAATTCATTCAGTCAATAGCATTTTCTGTTCCCTCCCTCTGCCTATTTCCTACTCTATGCAAGGGACAGTTCCAGACACAAGGGCAGTGTGTAATTAGGACACTGTCCTTGACCCCAAAGACATCTCAGCTCATGTACGTAGGTGAGAAAATATTATATAAGGGAGACAGTGCTCACAGCTAAGAACCTCAGTGTCATTGGCTGAGTGTGGAAGCAGGGGCAGGGTTGGGTACACAGAGACGGGAGGAAGCATGTTAAGAGGCAGAGGTGGGGTGACACGGGGCAGGTGCAGAAAGTCCCTGCATTCTCCATCAAACACTGAACTCCATTACGTGCAGGAATTCTGGGGTTGTGACCATGCTGTCCCCATGCATTCAGGCACAGAACAGCTTCCCGACCTGGACCCATTCACCCTGAGAGCGCCTGCTCCATTTAAACACTTGGGCCAAGGTACCCAGTGCAGGGTGGCAGGGGTCCCAGCTCTTCAGACCCTCTACTCAGCTCCTCTTGGGAGAACTCAGCATTTTTTATTTTTATTTTTATTTGGGGCATTTTGAGGCAGCTTGATGGTTACGGTTCAAAACACAGAGAGATGACTCAGCTTCATGTGAAGGAGCCGAAGCCTTTTGGAAAGATATTTCTGTTTTAAAGCTTCTCTCTTCTCAGCCACAGAAGCAGCTCATCCAGGCTGCCTTGTTTTCTTGACATTCAACTGCTCCCAGAGTTGGGGGCAGGGGCAAGGGCCAGACTCTGGGTGCCTGACTGCCTGAGTCTGAATCCTGGCACCATCCCTTACTAAGAAGACCTGGACAAAGTCATACCCTCTCTGAGCCTGCGTTTACTTAAGACTGCCTTGTGTGGTCTTCGTGCGAAGCCACCATCACTCACGGCACAAAGTGAGTGGACAATAAATATTAGTGTTAGTAACAAAAGCCACCTGTGCTGACCTTCTACTGTGGCTGAATTATCTCACTTAATCCTTACATGCTGCCGGGCACAAGTTCCCATTTTACGGATGAATTGACTGGGGCTCAAAGCAATGAGGTGGCTTGAGTTTCCATCTTCCCATTCAAGAGGGTCAGTGCACACACCCCAGGCCGACTCAGCAGTGAACCTGTGTAAGTTCTTTCTTTCTGTCTGCCTCTCTCAGCACCAGTAGCCAAGTGCACACAAGCTCCTCACTGCCTTTATCTGCAAAATGGGGACAATATTCTGAGGTTGTTGAAATATTCTAGTTATGGCTTAATAAAAATAATTCCATGAGGGTGCTCAAAAACCTTCAATAATATCGCATCATCCCTTTCTCCAGTACCAAGAGTCAACAAAACGCTGAGCTCTTCATGTGCAATATCCCAAGGAGAGATACGAAGCTGTTTGGGAAAACACTCCTCACAAGTCAGGAGAAACCCAAAAATGAGAAAGAGGTGCAAGCTCATGCCAAAAAAATTTAAAAGAAAAAAAAAAAAAAGGACTTTAAAATGATCCATAATGCAAACAGGCACACTGCACCTGCACCATGACATTAACACAGGGTCTGTCAATCTTCTGCCCCGGAACAAACATTAAAATAGAAAAAGCTGGTCCAGGCGAGCACATGGTAACCCGAGACAGTCAAAACCCAAGTTTCCATCCCCGTTCCCCTGCACTGCCCTGCAGTATATGCTGACAGGGCAACCTTAATAGTAACTGACTAATTGTAAACCCTGTGATTACCAGGGTTGATTTCCATGGAACTTCCTTTTACAGCACCGAGAACCTCTCACAAGCCTAATTGCCAAGTTCAATTTTAGCTCTGTCACATCCAGCCATCGCTGCTAACTAAGGCAGCTGCCTCCTTGCCAGGTAAGCTGTAATGAAGTCGGCTCCCTGCTTAATTTCACAATATTGTGATGCCCCCGTCAGCACCTGTAAATGCTGGAGGCTCTGAGCTGCTGTTGAATAAATCTCGCCCAAGGGAAGTGATTAAAGCCGCTTTGCGCCTCTGTGGTGCCTGTCTGGATCCTCACACCCACTGGGGCACCGTGGTGGGCTTAATCCCATGTGCCTCCTCGCCAAAACTGCCAGCCACTGCGGGGCCGCACTGGACATCTGACGGTGCACAGGACCCTGCCTCCCTTCATCCTCTGTAAATGCCTAACACTCTCTCCACCACCCCGTAGCCCTCCCGGAATTCAAACTCATGTCTGACTGCACCAGGCGGCCTTCACGTAGTCCTCAGACACACTGCACATGCTCACTTGTGGGGCTTATGCCTCATTGTGTCACAGTGCCCCACTGGCCTTGGCATCTGTCCTGTTATTAAACAGTCACCACCTCCCACACACGAGACTCCCCCTGACTGGGTCCCAACAGCAGAGCTGTGCTCTCCAGGCACTGCCGGGTATGTTTGGACTTCAGCTTTCGTCCAGAAATTGGCAGGAGTTAGCCATGACAGGACAGACGGGCAAGAAGTGTGCCCTCCGAGCCCACGACTCGCTGGGCATACACCAGGTACTTTATACCCACGTAATCCCCACCATCAGCCGGAGTAGCAAGGAAGAATGATCTCATCCCCCCCATTTTACGGGAAACTGAAGCCTGAGAACTTCCATGAGGCTGGTGAGAGGAATTTCTTTCAGCTCCAAATGCCAGTTAAGACAGTATTTCTTGTGAGGACCTGTCAAGCCTCTTCCCCCTTATCAAAGAAATCCTGGGGTAAATCTATTTCCCTTTTCACTCATCTGCCAGGAAGCCCAGAGCTGGATTTGCAGGCTGATTTCTATAACTGCAGAGCCCCAGGACCAA